AATGGTTGTGTCTATTAATAGGCGGTGTAAACTGAATATTCACGATTATTAATTACCACTTTTACTGGTAGCAGTAATAATAATAACAATAATAATTTTTTTTTATTATTGTTAGTTTTAGCGTTTTATGAACACTGTTTCAGTAGGACATGATAGTTGACCTTAATTTTCCTACTTCCTTTCCTTCTATTATTTGTCCAAGTCTCTATTTCTTGAGAAATGAATTTCTATTTCTATTAGGGTGTAACATGTTCCTGGAATACTGTAACGGTATTATAGTTATCTTATGTCAACGCCAATTGCAAGATGATGTTACAGGACTGGACCACACTGACTCCTTCTAGGCGAGGACACTGACAAAATGCAGAGGCTTCTGAACACCTTGAGCTGTAATCTACGGATGTTCGGCATGCGATTCGCTCCTACCAAATGCAAGATGATGTTAGAGGACTGGACTACACCGACTCCTAGTTTAGAAATAGCGAGTGAGGTGGTAAAGCACGTTGACCGCTTCACTTATTTGGGAAGTTGCATCAGCCAACCCCAGAAGGGTTGATCTCTGATGAAATCTCAGCTAAGAACGCATACAGAGGGTTAGTTTCGCAAATGCGAGTTCACGCCGTCTTTGATGTAGACGTGATATCCGCCTATCGACCAAAGGGTGAGTGTACTGCTAAGAAGTCCGCTCCGTACTCCTTTATAACTGGCCATTGAGAGTGGAAGACATGAAAAGATTAGCTGTCTTTGATCATAAGGTGCCTGTGTTCCATCTCCCGTGTGAAGTGGCATAATAAGGTGAGCAATATTGAGGTTAGGCGTGAGTCGTGTGCTAGGTAGGTAAGGAGGGAAAATCAATCGACGAGTTTGTGAAATTACATCAACTGAGATGTTAAGACATGTTTTATGCAAGCCTGCCTAGCCATCGCCTTCCTCTAAGGGAAATGTTAGCTGACATAGGGTCAGGCTGGAAAAGAGCTAGCGGCGGTCAAACCAAAACATGGCACCAGTGAATGAAATCCACAACAGTTAGTTTAAGCCAGCCAGTCACGTAGGAAGGTGTAGACTTTCTGACTAGTTGGGGTCATCGGGATGGTAAAAAACAATGGTTAGAAACAATTGGTGATATGGCTCAAAATCGTTTTCAGTGGTTGGTGCAGATGTATCCACTCCCTGTGACTTATGATTTCCAATGGAACTATATCGTTCTTCGTTATTGCTATTCTTTTGTCTCACTCCTCTGTTTACTGTCTCTATTATGGATTTCTTCTACTTTCTTCTCTTGGTTTGTGTGCTACATGGAGGGAGTGTGGTGACGTGAACTGCTGCACATCAGTGCAAAGTTCTATGTCGAAAACAGACAGGCAGACAGAATATTATCAGACACATAGATTAATGTGATTTAGTTTTGTGTGGAACATCTTGTTTACAACAGCTTATCTCCATTGTATACTTAATTATTCTTCATAGTGGATTTGTTTTTAGTTGGCTTCCCAACTGTGACCACAGGTAAGATGCCTTTCTTCATGGCATACTTTGAAGCCGAATGCCTCGTTTCCCATTCAGGTTCTAATAGAGAGTCAGTTTAGGATGTGTGTTATGTGATGTTCTTTCAACAGTCTTCTCATTGTATGTTCAATATATCTCCATTTCCTTTTCCATATTTGTTGGGTAACGGATTCATTAGTTCACTTGCTGACACAATTCACTGTTGATCATCTTTTATGACCATCTAATCTTTTGCATATATATATAAGACGAAGGTAAATGTAATCACGTTAAATGTTTTGACTTCTGTATGAAGTTGATTAAATGATTAACCAGTTGAAGTCTTCCTTGAAACGAAGAGACTTGACAGTATCTAACCTGTCGTTAGTAATGGATACATTGCTACACTATATTCTCCTTCAAGCTTGAGCTTTGTCGTTACATTAGCCTTGTGGTGTTTAATTTTTTTTTCACAGAGTGGGTTTGCTAGCCTCACGCCAAACCTTCCCTCTTAACCGGGTTTATTACAGGTTCTATCTGTCTGGATTCAACATAGAACTTGGCACCAAAGTGCAGCAGTTCGAGTTGCCACGTTTCAAATAGCACACAGAGGTAGACAAGAAGATGAAGATGAGTGAAGAGAATCAATACAATCTGACAAGTATAAAAGTGAAACAGAATGGATAGTGGTAGAAAGGAATATGAAAGATTACAGAGACTGAGTACGTCTGCGCTGGCTATTGACAACGATTATGAGCCATGTCACCTATTGTCTCCAGCCATTGATTCCTAGAGTCCCGAGGGCCCCAACCCGGAAGTCTGCATCTGCCTAACTGACTGACTCAGTTTAACTGTCAAGGATTTCATGGATTGATGAGGCCATGTTTTTGTTTGGCCACCACTTACTCTTTTCCAACCTGCACCTATATCAGCTAGTAATGCCCGTCGGGGGAGGCGATGGTTAGGCATTCGCAGCACATGACCTAGCCATCTCAGTCTATGTAACTTTTTAGCCTCGTTGATTGATTTTCCCTGTTTGCCCAACACTCTACGCCTAACGTCAACATTAGTTACCTTGTTAAACCACCTAACGTGAGACAGAGATCGTAGACATCTATGATCAAAAACATTCAACCTTTTCATGTCTTCAACTCGTATTGGCCATGTTTCAGAGCCATAGAGAAGGACGGAGCGAACTGCTGAGCAGTACACACGTCGCTTGGTTGATAGCCGGATGTCACGCCTACGTGAGAGATGGTGTAAGTCAGCGAAAGCAGTTCGAGGAGGAGAGATTTAGGAATGTGTTAGCAGGGAATTCAACTCTAGACCACGTGTGGTGGGTGGTTGGCGAGTATTTCTACCACTGTGAACCCCACCTACACATCAAGGTTTATATCGCTGTGGGTCATATCATATTTCCGCCTACTTACTGTTGCGTTTTTTTTTCACTCCTTGTACACACATTCTGGTAATTCGCGTGATCTTTGAGGTTGCTTTTTTTTGTTATCAGCTCATCCTTTGTCTTCAAGTGTCTGTCATTCCATTTGCTTTATGAGAAAAGGTTTTACGATGTCTATGTGTGTCTGACAATTCCGACAATTACTCTCTCTTGGTTACGTTTTTTTCAGGCATGCTTCATGAATGCATAATGAGATGGTGACGGTGGTAGGCTGTATCACTCGTCACACTTGAAGTTCTTGTTTTAACCCTCCCGCCCCCCGCTCTTCTTTACAGTTGGAGGTTTTAGGGTTATGTATTTCAGTTAAAATGTATAAGTAGAGTCACTTTTACTCCTCAGTAAATTTATTGTTTGAACTCAGTCACGCTGGGGCAGATTTTTCATATTTCAGGCTATATGAGCCGTAGTCCAGTTGAACAATACTCACTGTGCATAACCAGTTTCCGGCAACTATCGACAGTCTCCCTTATGTTGTATTCTTCTTTGAGTCCGTGATAGGGAAAATGTTGCTGCTCCATTGGTTTACGCACTCACCTTACAACTAGTAAATGTTTGGGTTCGAATCCCACCGGTTTCAGCTTGGGCAATTGAGTATAATCATCAGCACTCACATAATAATAATAATTTGCTTTATTCCAAAACATACTTGTGATACAGAATGGAATTCTCAGCGTTTCGCTACAGTATTGCATCCAGTTTGTACATTAACAATATATAGAATTCTACATAGATTATGGGTAGTCTCAGTCAGTTTTTGACAATAACATATTGGCATGTTGGTAGCAAAGCCAAAATTGAAACAGTGTTTGAGGAGCTAGAAAAGTAGATAGTGGCATATTTACTGGCGTAAGTGGTAACAAAAAGGTCGAGATATGCAGAGTGTGAGAGAACGAAGAATGTTTTAAATAGAGTTTGTAAGGAAGAGAGAAACAAAGCAGCACATAACAGAAGAAAAAAGAGAGAGAGAAAAGGAAAAGAAAAGAAAACGTTGTACCTATAAAAGATATGAGTTGGAAAGACGAGATCCAGTTGTTCTTCTGACTATTTAATAAGTTATAGGTATCACGCCTAATGCTTTCTTTATCGCACAGAACGCGAGCTAAAAAGGTATGTTTGATGTTCTGGTACAAAAAACATCTGCAATTATTAGTGTTCTCTGAGCTGGTTTGTTTAGTTGCAGAGCTTTCATCGTCTTTCTGGACAACATTCCCATTCAGCGCAGTATTTAGGATAAAGTGAAATGATTTAAATTCTTTATGAGCGATAGAAGAATTGTGTCTCCCGGTAATTATCTTTACATGTGTATTGACCGTTTTCTATTGACTTGGATTTTAAACTTTCTGGTCACCTGATTTAGTTTTTATTAGTTGGTATATTTCATCTATATTAACGTGTTTATTAATTGCATTTTCGTTTGAGTACCAGGCAAACAGACAGAGGAAACACCAAATGTGCCAGGGAATTCCTAGAAGCCTGGTACTCAAACGAAAATGCAATTAATAAACACGTTAATATAGACGAAATATACCAGCTAATAAAAACTAAATCAGGTGACCAGAAAGTTTAAATAAAATCCAAGGCAACAGAAAATGGTCAATACACGTATTTAAAGATGGTTACCGGGAGACACAATTCTATCTATCGCTCATAAATAATTTAAATCATTTCACTTTATCCTAAATACTGCGCTGAATGGGGCTGTTGTCCAGAAAGACGATGAAAACTCCGCAACTAAACCAACCAGCTCAGAGAACACTATTAAGTGCAAATCATCCATCTGAGTTACAAATCTTTTCTATTAACACAAATCATCTGTTCCTGGTAACCGAGTTCAACAGACAAACAGGTTATATGATACGAACCACCTACTCAGGCTAAATGATGAAATAGGAGGTGAGGACATCAAAACCATGGATTGATTGAAAAATCGACTACTTAAGGCAATGAACAACATCTCACTCTTAATAATTTTAAAAAAAAATTTTACTTTGTACTTCTCAGAAAAAATCTGGATTTATTTTGCCTACATTTTTTTTATATTTTCAATCTAACATAGAGGCTGGTATGCTACGTGATACTGCTAGAACAGAGAAGTGTATTGCTGAAGTATCTACAACTGGTGTTGTCGAGTCAACTACGCGTATTGCACGACGTGCTAATCGTGTCCTACAATTAATTACTCGTGAAGCTGATAATAGTGAAGATCCATTGTATGTAGATCGTATGAATGATGCTGTCAAAGCATTGCGATCAAGTGAGTTCTTTCTTTTTTTTTTTTATTATTATTATTATTTATTGGTATATTTTTTCTCCCTAAGGTTCTAAGTGGAAAATAAGAGTTTAACAACAGCACATCTCCACATCATCGTGTTCTGTGGCGTCGTGTTTAGCCGCCCCACAATTGCCCATTTGTCCTTTATTTCTTCCTCACATGATTTCTTCCACATCACACTGGTTAGGATAGACTAGCTTCTTTGTTCTTGGTGAAGTGATGATTTTTGCACGTACTGACGTCATACTAACCTGATTAGGCAGTTTCGATTGGTTTATTTATGGCTTAGATTTCTGAGGTTTTGTAAATATTATATATGTACCATGTATTTTGTCTAATAACCGTTTGTTGCAGTTATTGTTACTTTCCGATCGTCGTTTCTCCCCAGTTTGTCTTTAGCGTCTATCTCAGCGTGGGAGATGCCTTCAAGCAATCAATTGGTTATAGTGTTGTGTTCTGGAGGTGAATCCTATTCAAATTAGATAACCCTCCACAGGCCAGTAGTAGTACTCTGGCATATAGCACCACCCTTGTACCTGTACCGGTATCGTCGTTAGGCATTCGGATTCCTCTCTATGGCCTGACATGTGATGTCACCCATCAATCCATTTTCGTTTCCTTGGACATAATTGTTGGGCGATTGGTTTGTTTTTTCTTTGTTAACTTCGTTGTTTCGTGTTACTTCCACTTAAAACTGTCACTTACATTCTCTTGTGTAAGCTCAGCTATTAGCTGAGCTTATCTAATTGATTGATGGGAAAATTCTCTTATGGAGTCATGCAGAAAAGTAGACGTAACTGCGTAGCAAATTCCATTCTTGGATGAATCATTTTCAAGAGCTGTACTATCGTACTTATATTGAACAAAGAATTCATAAAACTAATCATCTATACTGTTAATTATTATTCTAGAGAGCGTATTAGATATGATAGAGAAGATTTGTAACTCAGGTGGATGATTTTGAGGTGGTTGTGTTCTCTGAGCTAGCTGGATAGTTAATTTGCGAAGCTGTCATCGCCCTACTACTAGACAACATCTTCACCGCATACTTCAATTTCTTGAAATGAGCTTTTAGATCTCCCCACGAGTTTATTATTCATCTCTCTTGGTGACCACCTTGAACCTCGTGATTGGTTGTTTTTGTGTGTTTTCACACCTTCTAGGTTACTTGCATTGGAACTGATTGTTTCTTTGACTTGAACTTCGATACCTTGTGTGTGAGGTTTCCTTCGTATCAGTTAATAAATTTTGTCTATCTCGATGTGTCTATTGATTGATGATTCGCTGGAGTGCCAAGCTTCTAAAAATTTTCTGGCCAGCATTCTTGTCGTTTCCTCTGTCTAATATTTGAATGTTGGTTGTCCCAGTCGAATTGATGTCCCTAGTAGTCTGTATGCAGCGAGTGATATGAGGGAGGGGATGTAATGTCTTTTGACGGCTAATTTATGATCGTGGATACGAAGACGAAGTGTACGTCCACTTTGGCCGATGTAGTGTTTTTCGCAGTCGTTACAATTCATTTTGTAGATGATGTTGGTTTTATCTTCTTTCGCTTGAGTCTTTTGATTGACATAGAATTGAGTGAAGTGACTTTGTTGGTTTGTGTACGACGTCAATTCCTAAAGGTTTGAAGAGTCTTACAGTGATTTTTGAGATATCCTTTATGTATGGTAAGGCGATTTTCTTTGTGCTTTCCTTGGGGGCTTTTGGTTGGATAGGTTGGCATGAGGGTATATGTCAATTTTCCTTAATGTGGGAGTGCTGCAATGAGTCCTGGACTTCTTAAATATTGTTTGTATGCCATTCCTTTTGTGTGTTATTGGAATGTTGCTGTTGAACTTGGACAACGATCAGCTATTAGACAGAGGAAACAACAAGAATGCAAGCCAGCGAATTTTTAGAAGCCTGGTATTCCAGTTATTCATCAATCAGTAGACATATCGAGATAGACAAAATTTATCAACCGATAAGAAAGAAACCTCACACACAAAGGATCGAAGTTCAAGTCAAAGAAACAATCAGTTCCAATGCAAGTAACCTAGAAGGTGTGAAAACACACAAAAACAACCAATCACGAGGTTCAAGGTGGTTACCAGGAGAGATGAATAATGGTAACTCGTGGAGAGATCTAAAAGCTCACTTCTTTCAAATTGAAGTATGCGGTGAAGATGCTGTCTAGTGGTGGGGTAATGAAAGCTTCGCAAATTAACTATCCAGCTAGCTCAGAGAACACAACCACCTCAAAAAAAGAGCGTATTACGTAATGTGAGGCATAATCTAGAAAGATATGACTGTTTAGGTATTAGGAAATTAATGCTCGAATCACGTAACAATTGTGAAAAGGATTACGTGATCATCGAAAATACCCATTGAGTCATGGAGAAAATAAAAGACAAATTTCGCGAAGAAAATTCTCTTTATCGACGAAATCATCTTCAGAGGCTACGTACAGTCATATCTATATTTACCAAAAATATATACTAGTCCATTATTGAGTAATAGGGGTTGACATAATTGATATACTAACTCGGAAGTGACTTTAAAAGTAAAAAAAATAAAATTTGTAAATTACGTGGTACTCAACGACACAAAGTTAGAAATTTGATACAGTTGAAATTGCTATTGAGTGAGAATAAAAGTGGTAGTTGAGTGTCATTTTAACAAGCTTGAAGACGGTGTGAAAATGTACAAAAGGAGCATATGAGATTGACAATAGTGAATTAATTATTAAAGCAAAAGCAAACTAAAAGTAAAATTAAAAAACAAAAGAAAAAATCAGAATTACTTTTACAGGGAACGATTAGTGAAGAGGTTAAGACCAAGGTAGAATAAGAGACTGGACAACCTTTTTCTGTATATAGAGTTCGGGGTTGTATTGACAGATTGCCAGCGCCTCCGCCATTACCTAATCAATAGAATGTCACAAATTGAACAAAACTAATTGTTAAATCATAATAAAGATAATAGTAGACTAAAATGCCCAACAATTATGACCATGATAATGCAAGTGGTATAGCGGTTAGGACGCTCGCCGACCATGCACATGGTCCGGGGTTCGATCCCGGCCGACGCACTCCTTTACTTCACTAAGCCAGAAATAATCCTGGTGAAGAGGAAAGGTTGGGCATGAGGCTAGCAACCCCATCCTGTAAAATAAACATTGCTACAGAAACTTCAAGCCACTAGCTTGAGGCCCCATGTTCCACTGGGAACGTGAAGGAAAAATTATTATTATTATTTTGATTTACAGCTTGATTTCACACTGTATTTTTGGTACAATTATGGAATTTTCAGCATGGATATCGGTAGCCCAAATTTTGCAGGCCGACCATAGATATCAGGTGTGCGCCGGCGTGGGCTCTAACCCGGATCATATGCATGGTCGGCGAGAGTCCTAACCACTGTGCCACCGACGCACACAAAGCGGAGTGCGTCGGCCAGGAATTATTATTATTATTATTATTATTATTATTATTAATGCAAGCGAGTGAGTGTATGTAATGCTTTTTAATTCAGTGATCCAATTCCAGGTTCTCAACAGCCAATGATTCGTCTATGTATAAAAAGCGTATTTAAAGAGTTCCTTTGTACGGTATTGGGGGAATTGTGTGTGTATCACTGTAAAGCCGTCATGCAGTGATTGACACTCGATGTTCATAGTCGGTAAGATGCTCGTAAAAAGAACTATTGGTATTCTCCTTTATCTTCTTTGGCTAGCCAGACTCGACAGTGTTCCATAATACGTTTATGGGTTTGACGCTTTCATGGCTTTGCTTCACTGACGACTTCATTTCGAAGTGTTTTGGCTGCTATCAGACATTAAGTATGACTGTAGGGCAGTGAAAGTTGAAGTACTGAATAGCTGTTTCGTCATAGTTTGGGACTCTTCAGTAGTTTGCACCCACCGGGATTCGAACCCAGGACCTTTTGGTTACAAGGCGAGGTAGCTCGTATACCATTAAGCCACTGGGAGCCGATCCCATGGCTCATGAATTCTAACTTTTGCCAATTCACGACATAGTGCGACTCCTAGCCTAATGATGAAATCCTGTAAACCAATCAAATCCCTACAAACCAACACTTGAATATCAATGAGATGCTTACTAGTGACTTGCCCTATTCAGGTAGGTAGTTACCTGCGTTCCAGTGGGAAGCCGTGACCAGTAGGGTGCAGCCGGTCGGGTTTGAGGAAAATACTCGCCACCGAAGACATTAGCTAGGGGTTGCGCTATGTCGTGAATTGGCAGAAGTTAGAATTCAATAGCTGGCCATTGGATGGGGTCCCAGTGGCCTAATGGTCTACGAGCTCGCTAGCCTTTTAACCAGAAGGTCCTGGGTTCAAACCTTGGCGGTGGATGCGTACTGATGAAGAGTCCCAAACTAGGCTGACGAAACAGCTGTCCAGTACTCCTATGTTTTCACGTGGTTCTCTAACTAATGTCAGCTCATGATGAAATCCTGTAACCAACCAATCAAATCCCTACAAACCAACATTTAAATAAAGTTGAAGTATTTCTATCTAAACGCCTTGTTGAATCCAATTAGAAATAATTTCACTTTAATTAAGTTAAATTACACTGTCCTCTTTTTGCATAAAGTTTATATCTACACGAGAAATCATAATGACATAATTCAATTCCCAAATATATTAGCATCACTATTAACAAATTATCACGAAAAAAGTACCATAAAGACTACACTATGTGAAATGAAAAGTCCCTTTCAATACACTTACTTAAGGAGATGGTTAATTGAATAAACTTATTAAGTAGCACCTGTGAAATAAACTGAAAAACGAAGAAGAAGAAGAAGAAATTCTTTCTAACTAAATAGTCAAATAACAGATAATACCTTCACAATATAATGTTCAGTCAACTCAGAAAAAACAACAACATTCAGAGGTTAATTTAAATGTAGATTTCGTCACGAATCAACATTGTCTAGAGAGAATCATTGAGAAGCAGGAAACACTGGGCAGTTGT